TTTTTCTTATTCAAATTTTGTCTTAAAAATGGAATATGTCTGCCCGTTAAATGCGTTAAGAATATTATCCAACCAATTCTGTAAATAAGGATAATTTAGTTAATTTTTCACCAATATCTGAATTTCATCATTAGAAGATGTAGATTGATAGTACCAGACATAATTCAGGTCAGTTTGGAATATATCTTTAACATTTGTGAGTCATTTAACTGACATGGTTCCATTTTCTTGTAACGTATACATTAACTTATAGATAATACTTGAATAACTTCTTAGTGATAATCAGCTTATACCAGAATACTTTTATGCTACATCTTATTTCAATGTCTAATGGATATCTTCCCAGTTCACTATAAACAAAGAATTAGCTGTTGTTTTTCTTACGTTAAGTATATATTTTTTTTAAATTTTACATGGATGTTTTCTATAATATTTACGTTTTAAAATCCCATATTTCTGATGTATACAGGAGAACTGGTATGATTACTGAATCAAATATTTTCGACTGTAAATTCACTGGTAGTAATATGTTTCTCAATTTCTTATAGATTGCAAAAACCAATATCTGTGCTTGTTCAACAACAATTTTTCCAGATTTTTATTTTCTTAAGCTTTTTCCACAGACCGACTCTCCACACCGTGAAAATCGAATGCTTCAGTAAAATCGATGAACGTACAATAAAGTTTTTCCTTGTGAAAAATTTATTGAGATAAGGGAATACAAAAAAAATGTCTCTTGTACATGTAGAATGACCTTTTCTAAACCTATCTTGAGCACAACTTATCAGGTAAAATTCTTCAAAAATTTTATTTAAATCAACAAAGTGATCGCTCTATCCGGATCTTTAGGATCGTCTTTTTATATAGTAGTTTTATAATACCAATCTCCCATGCATCTGGTATATATGCAATAAGATTAAATATTTTTGAATATATTGGTAAAAAAATATCAATGGTTTTTTAAAATATTCATTAAGGGTTTGATCTATACCAGATGCTTTATTTTTTTTAAACTGAGTAAAGAAATTTTAATTTCATCGGTTGTAATTTCACCGAAATCATCGAAAAATACCATTATCAAGGTTTTCAAGTTCAATGTCGTCAACATTGTGAGTAGACTTGTTCAGGTCTTTAAAGTATTGGTCTTAATCATTAATACATCTATCAGCATTACCTTTCTTAACAGACTCATCAAATTTATCAAAAATATTCCAGATTTCTTAGGCCTTTCTAGCAGTATATAATTCTATAAACTTTTATTCAAAATTTTCCTATATATTCTACTAGCTATGTTGAGGTTAGTTTTATTCATAGAATTATTCATTTTGTTAAATCATGCCTTACCTTTGTTAAATTCTACTTTGAGTAAGTGGCATTCCTTAGTAAACCAAGACTTATTATCAGACCTCGAACTCCGCTTTCCATTGATATTATCACTACCAAATAACCTGTTTAGTGGAGCCCTTGAACAATTCACTAATTGAATCTACAATGAAATTAATTTCATTATCTGTTACGTTGTTGTGTTGTTTATTTAATAATTTATTTAATTTATCGTTAATTCTATATAGGTTACCTGCCTCGTTATCAAGTATGTGTTTTACAAAATCTTGCTCTCTACATGATTTCCATTTGGTATTCACGAGACCATTCTCATGACATGCGCCATTAATATTTACATACATTATTAAATATACAAAAGCTAAATGCTATTCAACAATGGACATAAGTGTTAATGGATCAAAATCCATGATTTCAAAGTCAGTTGTATACTGGAACATACCCGATGGCAACAATAAATAATCAATAACGCTGACGTCACTATATGTAGTATCACCTATTAGTACATCCTATTCCGATCCGATCATTAGCAATATACATATTATTTTGTTTACAAAAATAAAGCAATTTATCGCCGTAGTTATTAACTTTCGCTTTACATTGGCAAGGCCTACGTAGAGAAATATTACATAGTTTCAACTTTTCGAAATCATAGAGATACGAGTAAAACTCTTCATTTTCATCTAAATTTAATGAGTGAATAAAGTTGTCATCTGGTTCTACAAAATCATCTCTAAATTGTGTTCTAGCATTAAAATCTCCAGCTTGAGCGACTTTGTTACCATACGAGGATAATTCTATCAAATCCCTTTCAATTACTTTTAACGCTTCGGGAGATGAATACTTAGTATTTTCCGAAGGTATATATACACATAACAGTAAAATATCTTCATTACACTTCAGAAGACGTTCAACTACGCTTTACACCCTACCTTCTACCCCCGACACGTTCTCAATTATAACAAGACTTGTTGTAATACCACGTCAGCTTTTGATGTACAGTACCATACACGGCTTGTCGTAACACCTCTAAATGACGAGTGTTTTTGTTGCCTGCTTCACAAGCGGATCAGGATTAAGAAAAATATAGAAAGTAGGGCTTCCTTTTCCAACACACTCCTGCACTTTAAACGGTTGGAGTTCTGAGATAAAATTTCGTGTTTACATATTATTTTAAGTAAACAATGATGTAATCAACTTATTCGTGTTATCCAAAAAATCGGACCAGAACCAAATTGGTAAAAAAACTGGGCTATACTCTTTTAAAATTTAACATACAAAACCAAGAGAGAAAATATCAAGAATTAACAGTAAATATAGAGAGAATTGGTAAGCCACAACCGCAAAAACTCACAGGATATCACGAGAGTTTTAAACACTTATGAACACGCACAAAATTAAATCTATCATTTTTCCTCAGTCATCGGTCTTAATGACATCGCCATTTTGGATTTCAAACTCACAACATAGTTGTTAGTAAAGAACAAAACGGTATCATGTTTCTCGTTAACTTTCTGAGCCGGACAATCTATTCCTCTATAAGCCAAACGGTGGTGTTAAAAGATGAAGGTGACCGTGTAGTCATCGAAACATCATACTCTAATCTTCTGCTGGTTGTGTTCAACTACTTCTATTCAATCCTGTCTTTTGTTAGACCCTTCCTGTTGACAACAGACTGGACTAGTTATAAAGATAATTTCCTTATGCATGTGTACTCTTTTGAGCGTCAGACAGAAAGTGTCCAACACTAATTAACATACCTTAGCTAGATGTGCAGGAGATATTTGGTTTTAACCAAAACAACCAAAACAGACACTAACCTGTTAACATAATATCAATTAAAACAGAATTTGTTAACAGTAATATGATATGTGGTTGAAAGCAAGATGACTTTAGATTAACGGTCGTCGTCACAGGAGGCTATGGCAGAATATTATCAAAACAATGATTTATGAAGTATTGATTATGATATGACAAATAAGATTTGATTCAAACAGCATTTTTAAGAATTTCAATAAGAAAAAAATTAGAGTTCCATTTATTTCGACCGATTTGGAATATGCCTCAGTCGTCTTCTAGATTTCAACAATCCATACTGACTTTTTTCCATTAGAGTGACATTGTGTTACTCGACTGCAATGCGGACTTGTCCCTTATGAAGTTTTAATCTCATCGGGAATTGTTTGTGCTTCAAAACATTGGACGTGTTCGATAGAAGGTAATATTCCAGCCAGTTATGTTTCGAACATTTTCACAGCCAGTGCAGGTTGGTAATGTCAATAGAATAGAATTACACAGTTTCTTATAACACAGCCAGTGGAAGATTAGAGTGTGACGTTCCGATGACTACACGGTCACCATTATCTTAATTATCTTATAACACAGCCAGTGGAAGATTAGAGTGTGACGATGATTACACAGTCACCTTCATCTTATAACACAACCAGTGGAAGATTAGAGTGTGACGATGATTACCTGGTCACCTTCCTCTTATTTGTGATTTTGTTCTTGCGTCTTGTCTTATTCTTCTGTGACAATCTTATTTACAAACTGCACCTGAATTCTGCGGAGGTCGTGGCTATAGCATCTTCCTCCAAGTGTTCCATGAACAAGATGGTCAGAATTTGAGACAATGGCCTTCCATAACTGTGCCAAACCGTTGCTATTATATGGTATCTTGGAAGGCAAAGTATGTTGTTGACAGCACAAATTCAAGTCATCAGTCTGATGAAGGTGACTGTGTAATCATCGAAACGTCTCATTCTAATCTTCTACTGGTTGTGTTATAAGATGAAGGTGATCGTATCTTCCACTGGTTGTGTTGTAAGATGAAGGTGACTGTGTAATCATCGTCACACTCTAATCTTCCACTGGTTGTGTTATAAGATGAAGGTCACTGTGTAATCATTGTCACACTCTAATCTTCCACTGGTTGTGTTATAAGATAAAGGTGACTGTGTAATCATCGTCACACTCTAATCTTCCACTGGTTGTGTTATAAGATGAAGGTGACCAGGTAATCATCGAAACGTCACACTCTAATCTTCTACTGGTTGTGTTATGAAAACTTTTATTCTAATACTCCCTGTAGTTCAGTCGTTGTTGCTCTCATGTGAGAACGCGACAGTAACTACTTGCATTGACCTCGATATTTACCTGACTTTTGTTTTGGATAAAACAACAGAATACCTCATTCTCCTTGTCCTACAAATATGCATGTCGAATTATTGAAATAATTATGTGGAAGGGTAAGTCGATGTCGATACCTTAACCCACCGTGATAGTTGATATATGACTTGTTGCAATAACTTCTGGTCCATCATACTACAGTATCGGCACCTAGATAATTGACAATTGATGCCGTCATACAGTTATAAAAGTTACATAATGAAAGGTTCTCTGCACGATGTTTGAGACGGCAGGTGGTAGACACTGCTGGTGGTCTTAGTAGAGGTTTGCCGTAACTTACTGTATGCAATAATTTAATTCGTTCAGATATTTACGCATAACACGTTTGTTTGAAATTATGCAATATTAAAATCTGATATGTGTTGATTTTGGGATAAGTGTATTATGGCATGAACATTTTTATTAATTAATTCCAGAGAACATTTCTTTCTGTCGTCTATCTATACATGTCATGTGTTTACCTTTTAGCTATGTCTAAGTCTGTCTTTACCTATCCAATACGGCAACGCTCGAAAATCACGTGGCTGTGGATGTTGATAGTGGTAGCTCTTGTGTTGCTGCTCCTTCGCCGCCAGCACCGTGTCGACCAGGATATTGCGGACAGTGAAGCACCTACTCCAACACCCTTCAACCGCACGTTGTGGGACGCTAAGTCCATCCCAGTAGGTACCGCATGAATAAAATTTTAAGTTCACAAATCATATTATTTTCAAATAAACCATATTTGCGGACAAATGCCGTTATTAACAGATATCAATTTGTTGATATAATACTTGACAGTATGTTCACTGGAATTTATTTGATTGCCAGCTCTATCATTAATAATCACATGTTCGATACTCGATTTCTAAACTTGCTCTAAAGTCGTGCTTCTATGGGTCAGGGAAATTCTTGGATGAAGGAAAGTCAGGTGATATATATAAGTAGCTTTTTGTCACTAACTACTGCGAATTTCTATATTTTCGCAGGGCTCAATTTTCGTGGTTTTCAAAATATATTATTTTGTGAACATTTGATTTGATGGATAAGAATCTCTATAAATGTAGTAATACTAAGCTTAACAGTTCATGGACACATGTACACTTGAATTCGTGGCCTTTAGTGGAATACATATCTATTGAATAATTAGACGTAATGCTGTTCATAACTTTTGCTACATACAGCCATTAGTCTGTAACATTTTATGTTAACATGCATTTCTGTAATCAGAATGGTTACTTAGCGTTGTAGCACGCCTTTGTCTTTGTACTTGCCTTTGTTAAAAAATTATCTGATACATGAAAATTATTAAATTTATTGATTTTATGGGGCTAGTGCACTTCGCCATCTGAATTTTGATATTTCTCTCGACCACTTTGAGTTTTCCTCTGTTGTCTCTTGTGCTTCGAATTTAGACCTTTGGCATCACTGATGAGTCCAAGAAGGCCGAAACAGTTTATGATGCCATTTAATTCATTGTTTGGTTCTCCTATGCCTAACTGATTATAATAAAAGATGTTATTTTTTTTTTCAAAACATTTTATTAATACAAAGTATTAATAGAATTAGACAGCAGGCTAGTGCCTATATAAGTCTTCTCCTGGGACAACACAGGTGGTCAATTACAGTTACACTGATCAGATTCAAACACACATACATACTCCCTCTCTTTCACACTCACAAACCTACATACTTACATGTACATGTATAGCATACAGTAACTTACAGTGGATACATACATACAAACACACATATAGACATACATATATACACACACCCTCACACGCACATACACACCCTCTCTCCCATACACACCCTCACACACACATACAGATAAATACACAGAGAAACCTTAGAAGGGGGATAACTCTTACTTAATTTGGTATATAATTCAAAATACAAAATAATCTGATCTGTAATATTTAGAAATATTTTAACTGAATTAATACACTTCCGGTACACTTGCTCCTCCATACTGACAGGAATATTGGGCCATGAGTGTCCATAGTAATAAAGTTGACCCTCATCCTATCTAATGGAGAAGCAAGTATACCTCAACGTGCATTACTGTAGAATAGAATTATTTTTTCAAAAATATAGAGGATTTTCTGCTTTAACATTAGAGAGTTATATCCCTATTTTAGGAATAAATGATAACTAGAATATCGAATTCTTCAATATCTAACCAAGTATACAAATTCATATTTTATAATTTTAAAAACTTTTATAATTTGCAAAATCTTTTTGTGCCAATAATATAGCTAATTACTGAGGCTAATATTGATTTATTAACATTAATACCACAATCTTGGCAGCCGTTAAGAATAAAATCTAATTCATAATGAGGATGATCATGTTAATATAGAGAATGATACAAATCTTGACGGTAAGTTACATATCTTGGACATTCAAAGAAATAATGTTGTACAGTTTCAAGTGGTGCACCACAAGCACATGAGGGGTATTCTATCAAGTGATTATTATGTAAATCAAAGTTGAGAGAGCTAGCTGAGTTCCTTAGCTGACAGAGGATAATATTGTATTTTCTTTGTCCATATTCTTTAAAAACAACACTAACATTAGCATTATTATTTACATATAGATTTCTATCAAGTAATTTCTTAAACTGGCCAATGGAGTGAATGTCAATCAAGGAGTCACCGATTTTATTGAATTCACAGATCATATCTGGGAAAAAACTATTGCAATAACTAACAGTGCGACAATATGGTTCATAAAAAATTCTATTATTTCTAAGTTGGTATCTTGATTCATTAGGATTGTTTAAATATGGTTGTATGATATCATATAAATAATCTGGTGATTCTTTGTTTAAAATCTTGTACATTAAAGTCATTTTATGTTTTTTTCTTCTGTCACCTAAAGAATCCCAGCCCAGTTCTGAATACAGTTTTTCACTGGATGTACCTCTGCGTAACCCAGTTATAATCCTTGCTGCCTCAAGATTAATTGATTCTAATAGGTTCTTGGCATATAAGATGTTATTCACTTGCGTGTTTTTGTACAATCTTTGCCATACCTGATTTTTGCAAGAAATTAGTATATGTCTGTCTAAATCAAATGCTGCTCTTCATATAAAATCGCTTATTGCTTAATGATCAGTATAGAAAAATCTAGAACTGTCTTTAAGGATGGCATTAGTTCACAGTCGGAACATTACAAAGGAAGTCTTTCGAAACTACTGTAAGTCATACACATCAAAGTGTTGACAATTTTCGATACTAAAAGGCTAAATGAACATGATATAGCTGTGTAGGTGCAGAACTGCTGGTACTCTTTTACAAGTTAAGAACATATACACATTTACCTTCTGTTATTTCTTTTGATCAGCTTTTATATTTTAACAAACATACATTTGTGTTGGACATGTTTGATGATCGTTAATATGCGTAGTTATAATCTTGTTCTCTTTTGGGATAGCGACATTACTCGCCTTGATTGCCCAAGATTCACATGGGGCTGGTTTTGAAACAGACGACGCTTACCATTCCGAAACACTCTCACCTTGTAATTTTTTTTCAGAAGTCTCCATATCAATCATTGTTTTGTTCATATATTGCCCCAGTTCCCTCGAAGTGTTGTTGAGATATATATTCTAGTTGACGGTTTTGTAATTACAGATGTGTCTAGTATGTGTGCTGTTCCGGTTTTTTATCATTATTATTTTTTTCATTTTGCGATCACAGAGAAAGTTTGTTTATCCCAAGTGTCCTGCTTCTACCTCTTCCAAACGCAATGTGGACATCACCACGAGCTTAAAGAAGACCCTGGACATACCCGATGGACCACCGCCGGGAAAGAAAGAACTGTGTAGCATGTCTTTCGAGGATCTGGAGCTCTATTACCATACGTAAGTCACCGAATGTTCGTCTGATCCGTCGTGATGCAGAGTTATATACTCTTGTGACAGTTTGTGTGAGAATTGTTTTCTTAACATTAAATCGTTATACTCTCACAAACTGATGGCATGACAATCAATACCAGTTCACAAGAGTATATAAATCTGCATTACGAAAAGACGTAATCAATCAGCTCATCGAATATAGCATAATCTATGTCCGCTTTTGTATTTCAAAGCAAATAGAATTCATTATATTTATCCGTTCGGTTATGTTTTGAACGTGTGTGTGTTTAATTTTTTATTTTATTTTTATCAATTACTGATTGAACCCGACTATTCAAAAGAGTTCGACCGAACTAAGCCGGGTTGACAAGACTTAATGTTTATTTTTTAAGGTTTTATTGCATGCAATATACAGTGTACCAACATTTCATCAGATCTCTTTCAATAATTACCATGGTTTTCATCCTAACGCTCTGAAGAAGATCAGGCCACCCCGACGTTTTCCGTCCCTCTTCCAAGAAATAATACACCACGGACGTCTTTTAAAATCTATTTTCTAGAATTTAATCACAAGTTTGTTTACTTTTACAATATCAACGCAATGGACTTCACAGGTATTTAAGTACGGTCCAGAGTCCTTGTAAACGTTCTGTGCGCATAGGTAACACTTTGGATGGAGGATGGGATGTTTGTGGTGAAGAGGCAAGACTAGAACGGAACTCATGCCTTGTTTACTCTTTTGGGTGAGTAAAGTCGTCAGCTGAAAATATCCAGCAACTCCATTTCGACATCAATTGGCAAGTTTTCTCGTCTGACAATATACTCTCTCTGGAAACTTTTGATTGTCACCGTAAACCATTCATGATATCTCGCTGGTAGTGGTCTAAATCTCATTATTTGTGATATGATTCCACTATAACGATCGCCATACTTCAGCAAACATCCTTAAATTGTAAAATATCAGATATAGAATGAGTTTAATGACAGAACAAGTAAGTACATGCTCATGGGCAAAACACCTTTAGAAAGCATATGTGGGGACAAGTATGTGCTGTTCCGTAATGCAGCCACCAGCTTTAACAAGGAGACAGTTCCCAAAATATAAAATCTCTAAATCGGTGAATATACACTCCTTCAGATCGTCAACTTATCTAGATCGACCCAATCCCTAACCCAGTCATAGGTTTACTACCTTATGCATCGGTGATTATGTCAATTTTATGTTCAATGCGTTGAAATGCCAAAAATTGTCGTGTACTTGTTCTTCACAGAATACAGTTCGATTTTTCGTTCGACGATGAAATAGCGTCTGTGTTCGGATGTGAGGTACACTCATTTGATCCAAGGTGAGTAACACTTTGTGTGATATTGACTCTATATTTCAACTTAATATGCTATGCAATTTCCATGGTATCTGTTTTTTTTTTCAATATTGATTTCGTGTCTCAATTTTTTGAATTGCAAAATTATCTTATAACCTTACTGGAGTTTCCCAGCATGCATCAAGAGGATCACAGGCGCAGTCAGTCAGTGTTTTTCCATGCCACTGGTATAGCGGATTACAGCGGCGTCAGTAACGATATGGCAGGCTGGAAAATGAGGACCTACCAAGCTATCCGAGAGGAGCTGCAACATGTTAGTGTAAGTAAAGAAACGGAGAACATCAGATAGTAACAACGACAACAAAGAGAGGCTGGCTGATAGCAAGGTGTAAAGAAATTGTCTGTTTTGGTCTATACTTTTTTATAGCAACTTAGTGTCACGAGGAGATGGCATTTATGATTGAGATCAGAAGGTGAGACTTTTGAATCTAGTCGTTTTGCATTGCTATTGTATTCAAATGCCACAATAGAACAGAGACGTGAGACAGTCAATCCGTGAAAAAGAACTACTTTATTCTTTATGTCTTTGATGAAGAAGAGTTACAATAACGAAAAACTAACAGGTTGTTAGACAGCTGAAAAATGTTTGATATCAAAATATATTAAAAGAGGGGTACGACGATAACAACGCTAAATAAGACGGGTTCAGGAGGTGGCCTGCGCTATATAAATCTCGGAAAACGGATATATATTTTATTGAAATAGTCACGAATGACTTAGAGTGATTTATCTATTAGTTTCCCGTATAAAACGACCTAATTTTTAGACCGAACATAACGAAAGTGACTGTTTAACGAGGTGAATTTGTTTTAGGAACAGCAGAACATGTTTTGACTGAACATTTTTCACGTTTGTTTTGATTACAGCGCACCCCTGACGTCATAAAAATGGACATAGAGGGCTGGGAATGGAATGCCTTACCCGATATGTTGAAGTCATCATATCTTTCCGGCGTCAAACAGCTTTTGGTGGAGTTTCATAGTAATACTGATAGTCACGTGAAAGAATATTGGGTCCATAAGCTCTCAATATTGCGTGACCTGTACTTTGAGGGATACCGCGTTTTCTGGGTCGGCCGGAACATGATGTGTACCTATACGTCACCAGTGCTTCATCGTTTATTGTATGGATGTTACGAAGTTTCCTTCGTTAGAGTTAATTAAACGAATTCTAAAGAATGGAATGATCAGGGTGCATTTTAAGAGAAATGTGAACTGCCCCGCGAGTAATTACAAATGGAGGTATGAATAGAGGATTTCCAACTGAAAGACAGTAGGATAGGAAAGCTTACAGAGAGGGGGTGTTATTTTCATAGAGACAAATTGTGTTTTATTTTCTTTTTTTGATATTCTATGTTTCAGGCATTGTAAATAATTATTTGGTGTTGGTGATGGAATTTATTTGGAAATGTTTCTATGTAACTAAGAACTTACATGCTTAGGTGACAAAAACAACCCAGGTAGTAAAATAAAAAATTATACACAACATTCGTTGATTTTCGAAAAGCATTTGACACGGTATGGAGAGTAGGATTATGGGAAAAAACTACGTAGAAATAAAATAAAAGGAAAATGTTATAATATAATAATGAATATGTATGATAATATTAAATCATGTGTGGAGTTGAAAAATACCCGATCTGAACTATTTGACTGTTTAATAGGTGTGCGGCAACGCGAAAACCTGTCCCCGTTTTTATTTGCGATCTTTTTGAATGATATTGAAGATTTCTTTCGTAAAAACAGTAGTGTTCCTTTGAGACATTTTAAGGAGAACTTTCAAAATGAACTTAACATATTTCTGGATCATTTTGTCTTGCTTTATGCTGATGATACTATTATTCTCTCAGATTCTGTTGAAGGCTTACAGAAGGCGCTGGATATCTTTCATTTGTATTGTACCAAGTGGAAACTTAATGCTAATGTCAAGAAAACCAAGGTCATGATATTTTGTAAGAAAAGGTTAAAAAATAGTGAAGGTTTTAAGATTAATGGCCTTATAATTGAAGAAGTAGATAGCTTTAATTACTTGAGTGTAACATTTAACTTTTTATAAGTGCAAGCAAAAGTTGCGTGAACAATCACAAAAGGCTCTTTTCTCTGTGTACAGGAGTATTAAAAATCAACATCTTCCAATTGATTTACAGTTCAAATTAGTCAAGCCTATATTACTTTATGGATAAGAAATATGGAGCTTTGAAAATATTAAAATTGTCGAGCAAGTCCACTTGCAATTACGTAAAAGAATTTTAGGGGGAAAAAACACGACACTAAATTTTATGGTATATGGCGAACTTGGTCGTTACCCTCTGGAAATAGATATTAAACTCAGAATGGTTAATTTTTACAACTCGTTAATAATGCATGAGTCAAAGTTAAGTAGTCTTATGTACAGACTGATATACAAACTTCATGTCAACAATTTGTGTAAGTTTAAATGGGTAGATTTTATTAAATCTTGCTTTAATGATGTAGGACAGAGCGCTGTTTTCCAGAATCAGGGCCCAATTAGTAAATACTATATAAAAACCAGTATTAAAAAAAACTTTAACAGATCAATTTATACAAAAATGGAGAAACGAAACGGAAAATTCATCTAGAGGCTTATTCTTGAGTCATACCTGACTCAATTCTCTGTTAAAAACAGACGGATTTTATGCAAAATTAGATGTTGTAATATGAAATTTCCCATTGAAACTGGAAGATGGCGCAATGTTCAGAGACAGGATAGGAAATGTTCTCTATGTAATACCTCAGTAGGTGACGAATTCCATTACTTATTTCAGTGCACTGATATAAGATTGATTGAACTGAGACAGAAATTCTGACCTTCATATTACTGGAGAAATCCAAACGTGTTCAAAATGTACGGATTGCTCTCAGTTTGTTATAAAAAAGTTCTAAATGCCTTTTGTTTATTTTTAAACAGTCTTGACAAAATATTGTAAGAAAAATAATGTTTTCATTATATAAGTGATTTTATGAAACCCAAGTATATCAGCTTTATAAAAAAAAACTACCAGAAGCCATGCATTTACTTTAAAACAATCTTAATCAAATATTGTGAAGAAACACTACGTTATCATTATATAATATCAAAGGGTATTTAGATGTACTAATT